GCGCGTGGTGCTGCGCTGGCAGCCCCAGCCCCCCGCCGACGGCCCGCAGGGCGAGCTGACCGTGCCGGGCACCACGCGCACCGTCAGCCTGCCCCGCCTCCGGCCCGGCACCACCTACCACGTGGAGGTCCACGGGGTGCGGGCAGGGCAGACCTCCAAGTCCTACGCCTTCATCACCACCACAGGTAGTGTGCGCTGGGGCGCGGGACCTCTCCTCCCTGCCCAGGCTCACCGGCCTTTGGGAGCTGCACCCCTCAGCCCCTCCCACTGCTCGCTGCTCAGACTGTCACCCCCACCACACCCTTCTGCCTTCACGCCCTACCTGGTGCAGGCTCCAGGCGTCCCCCACAGCAAAGCACAGCCTTCCTCTGTCCCTAAAACCACATCCACCCCCCTCCTTCACGCACACGCACACGCACACACACGCACACGCACGTCCTGGCAGATACCCTGGGCCAAGAAGACCTGGTCTTTGGGGTCCCTTGGTTTTCACTTGGGTTCTCAAGGCAGGGCTGCCAAGGTTGCTATCCAGGCAACAGAAGCAGCCTTGGGTGGGCGCGGAGGGACTGCACACTCACTGGAACAGTTGGGGAGGGCGGTGGTGGTGGGAAGAGTGACAACAGAGATTTCCAGCGCTGACTCACTGCGGTGAGGGTGGCTGAAGACTGTGGTCAGTGGTTGCTGTTTTCCACAATTTGGCCTTGACCTCAAAGGGACGCATCGGGGCAGCTGGGGGTGGCCTTGAAGCCACGGGCAGCGTGCACATGCCTTCAAGGGGAGAGCACTGCTTCCCCAGTTGCTTTTCAGGTCTCCTGGCTCACCTCACACTGGTCTCTTCCACAGGAGTGATGTCGGGCTCAGGGAGGGTGTTCCGTGGCTGCCCTGGGAGGGCTGTGGACCTTTTCTTCCCCCATAGGGCCCAGATGCCGCCTGAGTAAACGCCCTCCTCACTACCCGGCCCCCTCCTGCACCCCTTCTCTAACACCACCTTCTTTCTTCCAGGCTGCTCACTGCTGCACTAATGGAAGCCATACCGCCACCCAGTGGGGACAGGGTGCCTGTGGGGAGGGGCTTGGAAGTCTGTGGGGCTGGAGGTCATAGTCTTGTGGGGGGAGGGACAGCAGGTTTATTTCTTTCAGTTATTATCTGCAGGCCTGTCTGCTCAGGTGAGGTGATGGGTGTTTGGAGGACTGGCCGACCCTTGGGGCTTGAGGGGGCCCAGGGCATGTCTGTAGGCTCTTAGAGGCTACAGGAACCTGTGGGCTGGGGTTCCTTTCTGGCTCTAACAATGGACTCTCCTGTTTTTCTTGCCCTACCCTTCCCAGGGTCCATCCCCTCAGGCTTCTTGGGGGCCACTGATGAGCCTCCTCCCTCAGGCCCTTCAACAACTCAAGGGGCTCAGGCCCCAGGCCTGCAGCAGCGCCCCCAGGAGCTGGGAGAGTTGAGAGTGCTGGGCAGAGACAAGACAGGGCGCCTCCGCGTGGCCTGGACGGCCCAGCCTGACACCTTTGCCCACTTCCGGCTGCACCTCCGGGTGCCCAATGGGCCAGGATTGCATGACCAACTGCTGCCAGGGGATGTCCGCCAAGCACTGCTGCCCTCACCCCCTCCTGGAGCCCCCTATGAGCTGTCACTTCGTGGGGTCACCCCTGAGGGCAAGCCCTCTGCCCCTCTCATCTACCAAGGCATTATGGGTACATCCTGGCTTCTGCTCAGACCAGGGTCCTGAGGTTGAGGGAGGGGCTGGGCTAGAGGGACTCAGAGGTAGGATGGGGGTAGAAGGTCAGGGCTGCGTTTGGATGGGCCGTGGTGGGAGAAAACAAGGAGAGAAAAGGAGTTGAGGGTTCAGAGGCAAGAGGGATGGGGGTGGGGTCTGAGAACAATGACAGGGTAGGCTCCAGGAAAAGAAAATGGGAAAAGAAAGGCATGGGGCAGCGATTCTCCCTATAGCTTTCTTTTCTGTGTCCTGACCCCACATTCTGGTCATTCCTCTGCCCCACCCCATCCCATAGATCTCTCAGTGTGGGTGTGGGTGTGGGAGGGCCTCTGGCCCTGATGATACTGACCCTCAACCCCCTTCTCCCCTTCTCTTCCCCATAGCCCCTGCCACCCCCTCACTGGCAGGCTAGAACAGTGGCACTGCCCCCCACCCAAAGATAGGCAGTGCCCCATGGTCCCATCAGCCAGTTTCTCCTGGGGGTGGAGGTTCCTTGGGGCAGGGAGCACCACAGCCATCAGGCCTTCAGAAATGGGCGAAGTCCGCAGAGCCAGTGAAGGTCAGGGCCTGGGTGCCTGGCTCTCACATTCTCTCTTGGTCCCTCTTTACGGGACCAGAAAAGCTGATTCTCCCCACAACTCCAGGTCAGGCTCACCACAGAGGGAGACAAGGGAGAGAGAAGTTCAGGTGGACTGAGGAGTCTTCAGACTGCTCTATAGTAGCAATGGGGAGTTTTGAAACTCTCAGGAAGAACCATGGGGGTCCTGAAACTTCCCCATGAACCTTGGTGTGGAGAGAAACCTTTGTGAGGGGTGGGGAAGGGCCAAAGCTCTGACTCCAGAGCAGAAGTTGAGGGGAGAAATGCCCCCTTCTCAGGAAGGCTGGTCACAGAGGGTTCTGGGGTGAGGAAACAGTGTCTTTGAGGGAGGGAGGGAGAGAGCTGTCCAGGCTGGAGTGAGCCAGTGGGCAGGGAAGGAGACAAGGCCAAGGCCACGGTTGAGTCTTCCTGCTTTGCTTTTACTCCCCACCCCCACTCCAGACAGGGATGGAGAAGAGCCTGGGAAGCCCTTGGCCCCACCGCACCTGGGCGAGCTGACAGTGACAGATGTGACTTCCAGCTCCCTGCTCCTGCACTGGACAGTCCCAGAGGGCGAGTTCGACTCCTTCGTGATCCAGTACAAAGACAGGGACCGGCCCCGCGTGGTGCCTGTGGAGGGGCTCCAACGTTCAGCTCTCCTCACCAACTTGGACTCGGGCCGCAAGTACAAATTTGTCCTGTATGGGCTTGTGGGCAAGAAGAAGCATGGCCCCCTGGTGGCTGAAGCCAAGATCTGTAAGTGAGAGCAGTCAACAGGTCACCCACCTGCTCCTGCCCTCTGCATGGTCCTCAAGGGGGTCTTCCCAGTGCTTTGGGAACTCCAGGAAGGCTTCCTGGAGGCAGAGGTCTCTGAGATGAATCCTGGAGGGAAAACAGTGGCAGGTCAGGCAGAGATGTTGAGGAAGGCAGTGCAGACAGAGGGAGACGTGGAGAGCAAGGCAGGAGTGAGTGTGATTCTGCAGGAGGATCCATGTCTGTTTCCTCTCATTAGACAGCAGGGCTCCTGGGCAGCTGAGGGGGCTGGTCTTGTGCCTCACAGGAGCTTGGACCTCATTTGAGGGCCCTGAGGGGCCTCTGAAGGGTTTTAAGTGGGGAGAAACATGATTCTACATTTATCTTACAAATTACACTGAGGCTGCTCTGGAGGATAGGGGGAGAAGTGAGTTAAGAAATTATAGTGGCCTGATTAGAATGGTGGCAGTGAGTCTGGTTGTGGGTGGTGGAGAAAGAGGGGCTCAGGCACCAAACATTTCTGGATCAGACAGTCCCATTTCCGGAGGCAAGGAACAAGCAGCGGGACACTCAGATAAGCATCTCCTGAGCATTTCTTAAGGTCAGGTGTGTTCCCATCACACCCCGTCCTCACAGCAGCCTGGGAGGCATGCCCACGCTATCGACTCAATGGGTCGAGGCACGGAGAGGCCACTGAAGCAGAAACTGATAGGCCTGGGGTTACACTGCTGCCCTCATGGTCGTGGAGAGCAGAGGGGAGACCTGTGGAACCCTGGGGATGGCCCGCACTCAGGGCCTGCACAGAGAAAGAAGAGCCCGTAGGGTAGCCTGAGGGGTGACTTGAAAGAGGGACAGAGCCCCAGAGAGTGGTGTCCTGGACGCCAAAATGAAGGGTGTAGTCAGACATGTCAGATTCCAGGAGAGTGATTCAGTGCCACACAGTGTCCACAGCACTTAGCAACTCTAGCTCACCCCTGCCCTGGCGAGAGCTGTCACATGGGTGATGGAGGTGTGGGCATGGCTACAACCAGTGTAGGCCTCTTTCTGGAATCTGGGCTGGGAATAAAGGGCGGATGGATAGCCGAGTGGAGGAGGGCAGGAGAGGAGGAGGTGGGGCCCAGGGCAGGGCATGGGAGGCTCACTCCACATATGGTGCTCCCCTCTCTCGGAGGAGAAACCAGCTGGTAGTTAAGCCAGGGCAAGCGGCTGAAGTTGCCCTGGAGCTCTTCCCTGGCCATGGAGATGGGCTCCCTTGTCTCTGAGACCCCTCCCCAGGCTGGGGACAGAGTCAGGGCCACACGTTTAGGAGAACGTGCCCTTGCTCTAGGTGAGCATAACCTGTTGCTGGAGTACACACCTTGACAAGCAGAGTGCTGGCTCACTGTGCACCTGCATGCAGTGAGCAGCCTGCACAGCCTCACACAGCATCCCTGCATGGCAGGTGGATGTCCCTTCTCTTTTCATCTGTCCCCCCTTCTCTCTACTCCCTCTCCTAGTGCCTCAGAGTGATACCAGCCAAACAACCCCACCCCGCCTGGGAACACTGTGGTTGACAGATCCCACCCCAGACTCGCTGCACCTCTCCTGGACTGTCCTTGAGGGCAAGTTTGACTCCTTCGTGGTCCAATACAGGGACAGGGATGGACATCCCCAGGTGGTGCCCGTGGAAGGACCCGAACGCTCAGTCACTGTGTCCCCCCTGGACGCTGACCACAAGTACAGATTTGCTCTATTTGGGATTGCCAACAAGAAGCGGCATGGCCCCCTCACAGCTGAGGGCACCACTGGTGAGTGGCAGCGACCTACACCCCATGTGACCCCTCTCAGCCTTCCACACACTTGCCCTCTGCCAGGAACCGGCTGGGCCTCCCAGCGAGAAGGCTGACTCCAGATCCTGGCCCCACTCCCAGGCTGAGGGTCAGCCAGCCTCCCCCGCACTTCTGGGCCCAATCCAACCCATCCCGTTGCTCCCCAAGGCCCAGAAGGTGTGTCATACCCTGGCGGTGCTAGTCGTGCCAGGAGTTCAGCACTCACACTAATGCAGTATGACCCTCCAGGTGGGACAACCCATCTACACCCCAAGCACCAATCCCAGACTGCCAGTTCAGTCCTGGCTGGAACCTCTCATTTACAGCCCCGCAGAAGAGAGAGGAGCCAGGCCACCCAGAGCCCCCTGATCAGCCGCTGCTGGGAGAATTGACAGTGACTGACGTGACCCCAGACTCCCTGCGCCTGTCCTGGACAGTGGCCCAGGGCAACTTTGACTCCTTCATGATCCAGTACAAGGATGCACAGGGGCAGCCCCAGGCAGTGCCTGTCAAGGGAGATGAGAGCGCGGTCACTGTCCCTGGCCTGGAATCTGACCGGAAGTATAAAATGAACCTCTACGGCCTCCATGGCAGGCAGCGCGTGGGGCCTGTGTCTGTGGTGGTCACCACCGGTGAGTCAGGGCTGCAGCCCCAACCCCGCCAGCCCCCACTCTGAGCTGGATCTGGGACCTGGCCCAGGGCTCCTACACACCTCCCTCCACCTTCTCTTTCTCGGCTCCAGTTCTGTCAAAGCCTCTACCCTCTTCCCCACGTCCCAGGACTTCTCACCCGGCCACCAGCCCCAGCCTCTGTGTTGGCCCTGCTTCTCCACCTCCAAGAGCAAACCCCGTCCCCCCATTCCGAGCACCTCACATCCTCTCCGGCCTCCTGCCGACTGTCCTCAGCCACTGTGTTCTCTCCCCATGGTTTGTGCTGGGCCTTTTCCCATTCCCTGACCTGGCTCGGGCCATGGTCATTTCTGAGCTGCTGTCACCTGTTGCCCACACCCTGATGCCCTTGCTTTGTTCAGAGCTGGCAGATCCAAGGCACAAGAGCACCACGTTTCCCTAGCCCTGTCCAGCAAGGACTCCTCCAGCCCCAACTCCCTGCCTCCCAGCCAGCTTGGAGCAGGGAAAAGGACTCGCCTCCAGCCCTCAGCATGTTCCATGTGTCCAGCCTCCCTAGCCAGAGCCATTTCCGTGCTTGTGTAGCCTCATGGTTGGGAACATGGCTCTTCAGCCAACTGCCTGGATTTTAATCCCAGCTCTCCCATTTATGACCTATGGGACAATGTGCAAGTTACTGAGCCCATCTGTGCCTCAGCTTTCTTATCTGTCAAGTGAGGATACTAATGGTAACTGCTTCACACAGCTGTATAGTCCACATGCACTCGGAGCAGTGCCTCTCACACCAAAGCTGCTGCCCGACGGGGGCTGCTGTTTCCCCCTGACCCTTGCTTCCCAATACCCTTTTCCTTCCTCACATCCCTACCTGCCCCATCCTTGCCTGGGTTATCATTCTTGCCTATTCCCTCCTCAGTCTCCTTCCCCTAAGTAGTGGGTCACAGAAGGGCTGGCTGCCCTTGTCCAGTGTCCCCAGTCCATGAAGCCCCAGCGAAGACCTAACCGCACCTGACTTGGGTAGGTGCCCTGGGGCTGTGACTCCAGATTTCAGGGAGAGCAGGGTACTCCCCAGCCCCAGCCCCAGATCTTTCTTCCACTTTTGTCTGAAGCCCTGCCTTAGTAACTCATTCCTGAGACTTAAAGCAGAGGGAGGGGCAGGGTGCTGGGGGCCTCAGCAGAGTGCATTCCATCTTCTGCCCTGTTTCTGGGGTGGGCCTGGGAAGCCCTGGGGGATAGAAGCTGAAAGGGAGAGATGAGGGGCAGGAGGCCTCACTGCCCCTCACTATCTGAGGTCAACACGGACAGCAAACACCATAGACAGCACCTCAGGGGACCAATCTTCCCGTGCCAGCTCCTTTCTCAGACAGGAGGGGGGACCCTGGCCCGCAGACCCCTGCAGTGCAGTTGGCCAGCGCTGCGTGATGGCAGCCAAGGCCTCAGCCCTGTTTCCAGGGACCAGCCACTGAACAGCTCACACAAAGGCCACAAACCACTAGCCCAACAGTTCCCAGAGAATGTTTGCTGGAGGTGCCAGTGTGCCCTGTTCAACATCACCAGCAAAGCAAGTCAGCCTGTAAGCCTGTATCCCCAATTTGTTGTATCAGCCCCCCAGGAGGTTCGGGAGGAGACTCCGAGTCCCACAGAACCCAGCACGGAGGCCCTGACATACCCAGAAGAGCCCCGCCTGGGGGAGCTGACTGTGACAGACGCCACCCCCGACTCCCTGGGCCTCTCCTGGACTGTCCCCGAGGGCCAGTTTGACCACTTCCTGGTCCAGTACAAGAATGGGGATGGGCAGCCCAAGGCGGTGCGGGTGCCGGGACACGAGGACGGGGTCACCATCTCAGGCCTAGATCCAGACCACAAGTACAAGATGAACCTGTATGGCTTCCACAATGGCCAGCGCCAGGGCCCTGTCTCTGCCGTCGGGGTGACAGGTGAGCACATGGTGGGAGCCCCAGGGTGGGAGCCTGCAGGAGGGTCACACTCTGTGATGGGTGAGTGGGTGTGGGGTCCCTCTGCTCCAGGCTGAGCCATGGTGCCCTGTGTGCCTCCCCCTGGGCTCCCTGAGGGCCAGCGGGGCCCTGGGCAGAGAAGGGCCTCTGTGAGCTGTGCTGTGGCTGCCCTGGGTCCCCACAGCAGACTCTGGGCTCTGGGCATGTCAGTGAGCTTGGACTGATCAGGGTGCCCCCGTCCCCAGAGGGACTTCTCTGAAGTGACCTCAGGGCCCAGTCATGATCGCGGCTTTCAGAAGACTGGGGACATCTCCATGGACCTGCCTCACCCTCCCTGTGTCTGTCCTTCTCAGCTGCAGTGGAAGAGACCCCCAGCCCCACAGAACCCAGCACGGAGGCCCCAGAGTCCCCCGAGGAGCCCCTGCTGGGAGAGCTGACGGTCACAGGGTCCTCCCTGGACTCGCTGAGCCTCTCCTGGGCCGTCCCCCAGGGCCACTTCGACTCCTTCACTGTCCAGTACAAGGACAGTGACGGGCGGCCCCAGGTGGTGCGTGTCGGGAGTGAAGAGAGGGAGGTCACTGTGCGGGGCCTGGAGCCGGGGCGCAAGTACAAGATGCACCTGTACGGCCTGCACAGGGGGCGGCGAGTGGGCCCCGTGTCCACCGTGGGCCTGACCGGTGAGTGGGGGCAGGGCCGGCAGGGCGGGAGGACTGGACCTGCAAGACTTTCCCTTTATTACCACCTTGTGAAAACATCGATATTCCCACCTGCCTGTTTTCTTTTGCCCCTCACTGGCTTGGGGGTCTTGGTCAAGGGCAGACTCGGTCAGCAGGTCTGGGCTGGGGACAGAGTCTGCACCCCTGACAAGTCCTCTGGGTGCTGATGCCGCTGGACTGAGGACCACGCTTTGGTAGCACCTCCTCACAATCAAGGATCGGACACTTTCTTAGGATGTGTGGGAGGGAATCACACCGCATCCCTGGCCTGTCCCACGGCTCAGCCGCTGGTGAGACTGGAGGCTGTGACGGAGGGCAGAGATGCTCAGAAAGCAGCGTCTTGCCTGCAGTTCCCCAGCTTCATGGCTCAGACGTGACCAGACGAATGACCCCAGTGGGTCAACTAAGAAGGGGAGCCCTGGGTCAAGCACTGTGGGAGTTCACAGGGTCAACCTTGGCCTTGGCAGAGAAACAAGGTCTTATCGTAATGGGGTTCACGGTCGTGGGAAAACAGGCTGTGAACCAACAACACAGGCAAAGGGGGATGTGGGTGTGACAGGAAGCCCTGGGACAGGACAGGCCTGGACAAGGAGGCCTCAGCCAGCCTGTCCATGGGCACCCACAGGACAGCCGAGACCTGAGGACAGGGGGTGTGGCCACGGTGACAGCCTAATAGGACAAAGAGTGTGTCAGGTCCACAATGTCAGAGCTGGTCCAAGGGCCGGGGAGCCAGGACAGCAGGGCACACGAGGGGGTTTGGATGAAATGCTGAGTGGGGGATAATCCTGAGATGGGGGGCGGGTAGGCAGCTCAGGAAGCAGGCTCCTCTGGACACATGGGGCTGTGCAGCGCTGAGTAAGACTGACTCTGTCCACCATGCCTTTAAAGTCCATTCTGGTCCCTATGCAGATGGGGCAGGAGGGAGGCAGGGCGGGCAGGAGGGAGGTGGGAACACGGGTGAGAGGCGAGGGTGGCCCAAGCCAGGAAGTTTGGGCTGTAGGTGTGGGGGGTGTAGAGACGCCAGAGGAACTCGGGAGAGAGCAGGACACCTTGATTCCTAGGGCAGCTGGGGACGGGAGCAGGACCAGGGAGACTGCATGTTTCTGGTTGGGGAGGGGTTCTGAGGTGTTCAGGAGCAAAGTCATGAGCCAGAGGGAGTGCCACGCCCGGGAGACCCCAGTGGAAGGAGCCCAGGGCACGGAGGCCACGTGCGCCTGTGTTCAGAGGAGAGGCAGGTGCTGGAGCAGAGGGAGAGGTCACAGGGGTGTTGGCAGGTGGGGGGGGAGAGGTGACTGAGGTGATGGAAGGAGACATCAGAGGGACCAGCCAGAATGGGAGTTAGAGCCACTGTGGACGGCAGCATTCCCTTCCTTATTTCCTTACGCCTGCAATAGACCGTTTATATGCTGGGTGAGGACGGAGGGGACCTCACTGTCCCCCATGTCTCTGTCCAGCTCGCCCAGCTCCAGACTACAAAACTGTGACCACCCAAGTTCCGCCTGCCACAACCCCCGAGCCGCCCATCAAGCCGCGCCTGGGGGAGCTGACTGTGACGGACGCCGCCCCCGACTCCCTGGGCCTCTCCTGGACTGTCCCCGAGGGCCAGTTTGACCACTTCCTGGTCCAGTACAAGAATGGGGATGGGCAGCCCAAGGCGGTGCGGGTGCCGGGACACGAGGACGGGGTCACCATCTCAGGCCTCGAGCCAGACCACAAGTACAAGATGAACCTGTATGGCTTCCACAATGGCCAGCGCCAGGGCCCTGTCTCTGCCGTCGGGGTGACAGGTGAGCGCATGGTGGGAGCCCCAGGGTGGGAGCCTGCAGGAGGGTCACACTCTGTGATGGGTGAGTGGGTGTGGGGTCCCTCTGCTCCAGGCTGAGCCATGGTGCCCTGTGTGCCTCCCCCTGGGCTCCCTGAGGGCCAGCGGGGCCCTGGGCAGAGAAGGGCCTCTGTGAGCTGTGCTGTGGCTGCCCTGGGTCCCCACAGCAGACTCTGGGCTCTGGGCATGTCAGTGAGCTTGGACTGATCAGGGTGTCCCCGTCCCCAGAGGGACTTCTCTGAAGTGACCTCAGGGCCCAGTCATGATCGCGGCTTTCAGAAGACTGGGGACATCTCCATGGACCTGCCTCACCCTCCCTGTGTCTGTCCTTCTCAGCTGCAGTGGAAGAGACCCCCAGCCCCACAGAACCCAGCACGGAGGCCCCAGAGTCCCCCGAGGAGCCCCTGCTGGGAGAGCTGACGGTCACAGGGTCCTCCCTGGACTCGCTGAGCCTCTCCTGGGCCGTCCCCCAGGGCCACTTCGACTCCTTCACTGTCCAGTACAAGGACAGTGACGGGCGGCCCCAGGTGGTGCGTGTCGGGGGTGAAGAGAGGGAGGTCACTGTGCGGGGCCTGGAGCCGGGGCGCAAGTACAAGATGCACCTGTACGGCCTGCACAGGGGGCGGCGAGTGGGCCCCGTGTCCACCGTGGGCCTGACCGGTGAGTGGGGGCGAGGCTCGCTTGTTTTCCTTCCACTGACGCCCCGGGCTCCCTGCGGCAAAGGCTCTCCTTTCTGCCCTGGGCCCCGTGACCCCACCTTCTTGGGGCAGACCTAGGAAGAGCAGTTCACAAGGACTGGGGTGCAACCAGCTGCACAACCTTAACAAGTTTTAAACTTCCTTGCCTCTCTTTTCTCATTGGTAGAATGGGCATCATCATGTCCACCTCAGGGAACTGGGGTGAGGCTTTAGTGAGTTGGCAGCATAAGGCTCTGAGGTGCCTGGCACTTGGAGATGCTCTCAGCGTCTGCCGCTAGGACTGTTACATTTACCCTCCGGGGCCTGCTCTGCCCCTGGCTGCGTCAGCTACTTAGGTGGTCAGAGTGTGCGTGAGGCACGGGCTTTGCCGGGCGGCTGGGAGCTTGCTTTTCCCTTATCCAGGGAGCCTTACAGCCTCGGCTGCTCGGCCACCGTGAAGGACCCAGCCTGGCACCCCCTCTCTGGAGCCTCAGCACAGAGGCCCGGACCCCNGCCTGGCACCCCCTCTCTGAAGCCTCAGCACAGAGGCCCGGACCCCAGGTGCCCTTGGGGCTCTCCTGCTGACCTTCCCAGCTTGGTCACAGCCAGGAGCCTCTCTGCCCTTTGTCCACTGCAGAAAGACACACATTTTTGAAAGATGACTTTTACTACCAGGAATGAGCACAGATTTGAAAGCAGAGGAACAGAGAGTTTTCAGAGCCAGGCCTCTTCTGTCCACAAAGCCCTCCCACACCCTGACATGGTTGGCTTAGTGTCCAGAACCTTCCACTCTCGATTTCGTTACTTTCTTTAGTGAGCACTGAGAATAGCGACAGGAGAAAGCCACCCTGAGTTACTGTCCTGCAGGGTGAAGGCTCGTGCCAGGCCCAGAGCACGCTGCTGAGGTTTCTCCAAGGGGAACACTCGCTCTGCCCATCTGTCCTGGTCCCGGGTAAGGACAGGCCATGTCAGGCACCGACAGGTGGTACAGTAGCGGAAACTTCAGTTCTGGAATCTGACAAGCTGATTCCCAGCTTCCCCAGACTTAACTGTGAGATGGAACAGGGTGGTCATTGTCAGAGCGGGCAGGTGCTGGGCAGCTGGAGCCCAGCCTGCTGACCAAGAGCCGTGCCTGGCACACAGCAGATGCTGTACCAGCCAGGGGAAGAAATGCATGTAACTACCTAGAAACAATTCTAAATTGGAAAAAGATTATGCCAAATGCAGCCTAGGGCCTGCCATACCCAGGAGTAGGTATAATTCCACCTTCCTCGTTAAGCCAAATCACCAACAATAAGGCTTGATGGTGAGGGACAGTTTCTTGTTCTCAAGGAAAGAAGTAGACTGTGAAAATGAGCAGAGAGTGGGTGCGACAGGAACCAACAGAACCAGAGGCCATGAAGTGAGGTCCCGGGCCAGCACCTGGGCCTCCCACCCCTCAGCTGCCTCGTCCCTGCCCTCCCCTCTCAGGCTCATCTGTCTTCCTGAGGTCTCCTCAGCAGCTCTCTCTTAAAGCAGGTTTTATCTGTCTGGAACCTAGTCTTCTCCACAGGAGCCAGAGAAGTAAGCTCTTGGGACCCTATCCTCGCCTAGCCCCAGCCCCCGCAGTGGCCTCTTGGGATCACTGTGCAGGTTCAGCCACTGAGTAGTGCCTCCCAGGCTCAACGCCTCTGGGCAATGGGGAGCAGGGGGCCCCGAGTTCAGCCTTTCCTAGCCCAGAGTGCAGATCACTTGTTAGCTTAGCAAACATTTGTGGAGCACCCACTAGGTGCTGGGTGCTGGGGCACAGCAGTGAGCAGCCAGCGCTCCTGCCAGTGGAGCTCACATTCCAGCAGAGGGAGGCAGGCACCCAAGGGCGCAGATTGTCAAGTGGTGCCATATGTGACGAGACAAGCTGGGGAGAAAAGCAAGCCTGGTAGGTGAGTGGATGAAGGCGAGGAAGGGCCCCAGCTGGGGAAAGACTGACAGAGGAGGAAGACAGCCACCGAGGCCCATGCAGATGAGCACTCAGGGTGGAGGGAAGGTCCCCAAACATCTGTGGAGTGGCGAGGAATGTTCTGGAATTGGGGTGGGGAGTGTGAGAGATGAACGCGTAGGACCTCGAGCCTTCGAGCCTTCGTAAGGCTTGGCTTTTGCTCTGAATGAGACAGTATGATGGGACGGTCGTCTGACTAACGTGTTGACAGTGGGGAATGGAGGGGTGAGGGTGCAGAGGGAGGAGAGTAGCCCCACGGCTGGCGGTGCCCGGCAAAACTGGCGTGGAGCTGGTGCGGAGCGTCAGCTTCTGCAGGCAGTGCCTCAGGACTTGCTCCTAGGCCTGGCTGGGAGGCAGCAGTGGCTGTGCTGAGGTGGGCAGGCCAAGGGGACGCAGGTGTGGAAGGAGCCCCTGGGCTGCTGAGTTTGCTGCACAAACAATGGTGGGCAGCAGGGAGGTCCAGCTGGCCAGAGCCACTAAAGCAGGGACAGAAGCTCAGCTCTTCCGGACCTCAGTGATGCTGACACCTCCCGGCACAGCCCCGGGCCTGGCAGGAACTTAGGGAAGGGCTATGGGCCAGATAGACGTTGCCAATCAGTAGTTTCACATCCTACCCACCTCGCAGGCACCACAAAAACACAGCATGAGGGGCACCCAGGAAGAAGGGCTTTTCCTAACAGCCTCCCCCCACTCTGTATAGCTCCACCACCAGAAGACACTCCTGCAGCCACTGAGTCGTCCCTGGAGCCACGCCTAGGGGAGCTGATAGTGACAGATGTGACCCCCAGCTCCGTGGGCCTTGCGTGGACAGTCCCCGAGGGCCAGTTTGATTCCTTCGTGGTCCAGTACAAGGACAGGGATGGACAGCTCCAGGTGGTGCCTGTGGCTGCAGACCAGCGTGAGGCCACCATCCCCGGCCTGGAGCCCAACAGGAAGTACAAGTTCCTGCTCTTCGGGGCCCAGGGAGGGAAACGACGCAGCCCCGTTTCTGTGGAGGCAAAGACAGGTGAGAGGGACCCCCTGAAACTGAGCCTGAAGCCCCCCTTCACTCTGCCTGCCAGGCCTCCCCTCTGTCCTCCTGCTTCATTGGAAAAGCCCACCACTGCCCGGTCCCAGCCCATGAGAGCCAGGATGACAGGCCAGCTCCTGGATCCGGTCCCCTGCTGACTTTCCCTGTCTTCTCAGAGTCCCTACTGATGCTGAATGGGAAGACCCCTCCACCCATCCTGGTCCTGGAAGGTGTCACATGGGGACAGGTGCTGGGAAGGGGTAGAAGGAGCAGAGCCTCCCCTGCCTCCCTGGGCCCTGTGGGTCCTCAGTCCTGTGGCATCATCACCTTCTGGGAGTTTTGCCATCTCTCCTCCAATTCTCACCCAGTTTCTCACCCTAATGGCTCAGGCCCATTGGGTCCCATATCTGCTTCACCAAGAGGACAACTTTCCTCCCTGTCTTCCTCTTGGAACCTCCGAAATTGGGGACCCCAGGAGCCCAGGACTGGCTGCCTAGCTGTGCCCCTTTCCTGGATTTTGGTCCAGGCCCTCCCCTGCCCCAGGAGGCTCCCTGTTGCCAGAAAACTCCTGCAACAACAATGCCGTCAGCGCCTTCGCTGTCCAGGAAGGCAGCGGGCCAGCTCCTTCTTGGGCCTCAGGATGGCTACTTGGTCCTACAGCAGATCCTTTCGCTGTCTGAGCTCCCCATCTTCTCCCTGCCCCCTCACACATAGGCAGCCCCCTCCACCAGGGACTATGAGAATCACCTGCATCATAACATCGTGCCCGCCACCTGCTATCTGTCCCCACCAGGGATCTTGTGTCCCTCTGATGTTCCCAGAACCCTCAGATTTCCCCAGAGGCCAGTCAGTTCACAAGAGTGGGCTGCCTGGTAAAGGAAATGAACACACCAAGCCCGACAAGCTGCACTCTGCCAGGGAACTAGTCTCTAATCGTGGAAGGAGCCTGGGCAGCAAGAGGAGTGAGATAAGCAGCAAGCCAGGGACTCTTCCCAGAGTGGTCTCAAGACAGAAGACCCTCCCGATGGCTCGAGGGGACAGAGGCACAGGCCAGCTGGGGGGGGGGCAGTGGGAAGGGGAGGGAGAGATCTAGGGGAAGCTCTGATCATTTGGGCAGTTTGGGTTTTTCCAACTCCAGCGAGAGGCAGTCAAGGAGTCACTTTGGAAAATAAACACAAGAACCGTTCCTCTCTGTCAGCTGCCCAGGGAGACGCCAGCCCAGGGGCCCCACCTCGCCTTGGGGAGCTGTGGGTGACAGACTCCACCCCGGACTCGTTGCACCTCTCCTGGACGGTCCCTGAGGGCCACTTTGACTCCTTTGTGGTCCAGTTCAAGGACAGGGACGGGCCCCGGATGGTGCCTGTGGAGGGCCTTGAGCGCTCGGTCACCATCACCCCTTTGGACAGCGGCCGCAAGTACAGGTTCCTCCTCTATGGCCTCCTGGGTAAGAGGCGCCACGGCCCCCTCACCGCGGACGGCACCACAGGTGAGGGCCGCCCTGCAGGGCCTGCCTCTGCTCCTGGAGGCCTGGGAAGGTGTCCGGCACCCTGCCAGGCCGGGCCAGCAGCTGCCCACTTGTGCTGGCCACCATCACAGTGTTCTCTGGTCCCAGTGGCTCAGGCTGGGATCCAGTCCCCCTTCTCCCTGCATGAGCCCATAGTACCAGCCCTTGGGGACTCGGCCATGGCAAAGCCCAGTCTCTAGACTTGATCCTGCCCTTCGAGGTCACCCAGCCTTCCAGAAACATCTCAGCCATCTCCTTTGTATCTACATCTCAGAGACCCCGAGTGCTGTGGATGGTGCTGGAACGAAGCATCCCCCAAAACCCCGTCTGGGAGAGGAGCTGCAGGTGACCAGTGTGACGCCGGACTCTGTGGGCCTCGCGTGGATGGTCCCCGAGGGCCAGTTTGACTCCTTTGTGGTCCGGTACAAGGACAGGGATGGGCAGCCCCAGGAAGTGCCTGTGGAGGGCAGCCTCAGGGAGGCCAGGGTCTTGGGCCTGGACCCCGCCCACAGGTACAAGCTGCTGCTCTATGGGCTGCACAAGGGCAGGCGTGTGGGACCCGTCTCCACTGTGGCCATGACAGGTGAGTGCTGCTGTGGCCCAAATAGACTGCTCCTCCTTCCTGCCAGGCTCTCCTGGCCTCACTCAGCCATGCCATTTCTGAGCTTTCTATATCCCTTTTTTGGGGGAAAGAGATCTCCTGTAAATTATATGGAGAGATAATTTATATACAATAAAGTTCACCCAGCCCAGGCGGGCATGGCTCAGCGGTTGAGCATCGAACTATGATCTAGAAGATCACGGTTTGATTCCCGGTCAGGGCACATGCCTGGGTTGCGGACTCGATCCCCAGTCGGGGGCGTGCAGGAGGCAGCCGATCAATGACTCTCTCATCATTGATGTTTCTCTCTCTCTCCCTCTCCCTTCCTCTCTCTGAAATCAATAAAGACATATTTAAAAACAAAGTTCACCCATTTAAAGGGAATGACTCAATGAGTTTGGGCAAATGTATAAGTAATGAAATCGTTACCACAACTGAGCTGTAGAACATTTCCCTGGACCCCAGAAGTCCGTGCCCATAACCCCAGCCTCCGGCACCAGGGCTTGCTGTCTCATTACCGTCTTGCCTTTTGAAGCATTTTATTATAGAATCACACGATGCATACTTTTGTGTTTGGCTTCTTGCATTCATTTAGCATCATGCTTTTGAAATTCCTCCCTGTGTATCACAGATGGCCCTCGTTATCACTGACCGCTTGCCCTCCCTCTTGCCCTCCCCTGGGAGAGACCTGGGGCAGTGACAGACCCATAACCCAGCCCTACCTGTCTCTCTAAACCAGCCCCCAGGGAGGAGATCGGAGCTGAGACCACGGCCCCAAGCCCTCCAGGGTCTGAGCCCCATCTTAGGGAGCTGACAGTGGACAAAGCCACCCCGCACACCCTGCACCTGTCCTGGATGGTCACTGAGGGGGAATTTGACTCCTTTGAGGTCCAGTACACAGACCAGGATGGCCAGCTCCATGTTGTCAGCTTAGGGGGTGACCAGAATGACATCACCCTCTCTGGCCTGGAATCCAACCACAGATACCTGGTGAATTTGTATGGTTTCCATGGACAGCAGCGCCTGGGTCCAATCCAGGCGGAGGCCCTGACAGGTGAGCAAGGGGAATTCTCCTACCTGCTTCCTTCCAGAGAACGTGAGAGCCCGGAGGAGAACAGAGGCCCGAGCACACCCACCCCTCTCTCAGGTGCTTCTCTCTCCTTGTTTCTGTCAGCCCTGAGAAAAAAGGAGGGTGAACCTTCAGAGTGGCCCACCTCAACCCCTGAGCCGCCCATCAAGCCGCGCCTGGGGGAGCTGACTGTGACGGACGCCGCCCCCGACTCCCTGGGCCTCTCCTGGACTGTCCCCGAGGGCCAGTTTGACCACTTCCTGGTCCAGTACAAGAATGGGGATGGGCAGCCCAAGGCGGTGCGGGTGCCGGGACACGAGGACGGGGTCACCATCTCAGGCCTCGAGCCAGACCACAAGTACAAGATGAACCTGTATGGCTTCCACAATGGCCAGCGCCAGGGCCCTGTCTCTGCCGTCGGGGTGACAGGTGAGCGCATGGTGGGAGCCCCAGGGTGGGAGCCTGCAGGAGGGTCACACTCTGTGATGGGTGAGTGGGTGTGGGGTCCCTCTGCTCCAGGCTGAGCCATGGTGCCCTGTGTGCCTCCCCCTGGGCTCCCTGAGGGCCAGCGGGGCCCTGGGCAGAGAAGGGCCTCTGTGAGCTGTGCTGTGGCTGCCCTGGGTCCCCACAGCAGACTCTGGGCTCTGGGCATGTCAGTGAGCTTGGACTGATCAGGGTGCCCCCGTCCCCAGAGGGACTTCTCTGAAGTGACCTCAGGGCCCAGTCATGATCGCGGCTTTCAGAAGACTGGGGACATCTCCATGGACCTGCCTCACCCTCCCTGTGTCTGTCCTTCTCAGCTGCAGTGGAAGAGACCCCCAGCCCCACAGAACCCAGCACGGAGGCCCCAGAGTCCCCCGAGGAGCCCCTGCTGGGAGAGCTGACGGTCACAGGGTCCTCCCTGGACTCGCTGAGCCTCTCCTGGGCCGTCCCCCAGGGCCACTTCGACTCCTTCACTGTCCAGTACAAGGACAGTGACGGGCGGCCCCAGGTGGTGCGTGTCGGGAGTGAAGAGAGGGAGGTCACTGTGCGGGGCCTGGAGCCGGGGCGCAAGTACAAGATGCACCTGTACGGCCTGCACAGGGGGCGGCGAGTGGGCCCCGTGTCCACCGTGGGCCTGACGGGTGAGTGAGGTGAAGGGCCTCAGGGCTGAGCTCAGGTCAGGTCTCAGTAGCAAGGTCTCCAGAGTCTCCTCCAGTGCAGATTATAAACTCTGAACCTCTGACCCACGTGCTGTTCACTGAACAGCTCAGGACAGGTCTGGCCCGGGGACAGGAGAAGAATATCTTGGGGCAGCACCCAGCCGTCTGAGAGGCCCTTGGGTACCAAGGATTTCTAGGCAGCAACGCCCAGGCCCTGGTGGCCTCTGCTCTGCCTGGAGCTCTGGAAAGAGTTCTTTTTGGGGGTTGGGACATATGCCCTGACATATGAATGCATTGAACAAATATATATTAGGTAAGATTTCGAACATATGCACAGAGAGTAGAATAGTATGAAGGCCCAGGATCCACAGCTGCTTCCAGCAGCTATCAGCCCTGCCGGCTGCTTGCCAACTGCTCTCTGCTGCCTCCCTCAGAATGCCTCTCCATTAACCGCTTTCCTGGTGTGATTTACATACCAGGAAAGTCACCAGCTTCAATATACACCTTGTGACCTTTAGTGCAGCTACAGGGTGTGCGTGCTGCACCGCTGTCCTGTTTTAGAACTTTTCCTCCACCCCAAGAAGAAGGCCTATGTCCCCTCTCCCACACCTGGCCAGGCTGCTCTAGTCTGTATTCCGTTCTGTGGACCTGCGGTCTCCACACCACGCCACAGGGGACCGTGCGAGGCACGTGCTGAGGCCGCTCGATTCCTCTGTGCCACAGAGCGGTGTTCCTGGGGGCAGACCACTGCAGGGCTCAGCTCACCCCACGCACTCTGTGCTTCACTGCATGCTTATAGCCCTCTTTGAAAAGGCTAAAAATACCACATGATAATTATTATATCTTAAAATGAGCAGTCATCCCTTACTGTCCTCAAGGATCCGAGAGTGCTGCAGTTTCCTGCTCCTTTCATATTCGTTGTTTTCCAAAGTTGTTGCTGGAGTTTGGTCTAAATAAAGAGGGTAGGTTGCAATTGGGAGGACTGAAAGTTTAAACAGGTGGTGGTGGGAAGGTCCCGAAGAGAAGGTGGCATTCGATCAAAGACTTAAAGGAAGCATGACATGAGCCATGCAGACACCTGGGGAAGAGCACATGGGCAGAGGGAACAGGCAAAGCCTCTGAGGCAGGAGGCTGGCCAGTCAGACGGACCATAAGGACCCCACAGGAAGACTTTGATGAGCATAACCAGAAATGGATCTGAAGTTAGGCACAGAGCTGGACCCACTCCTGGTCTGAATCCAGGAGAGCTGGGGTCTCAGCAACTCTTTCTAGCAACAGGAAAGCTTCTGTTTGCCTCTCTTCCCAGCGCCCTATAAGGAGCCTCCTTCCAGCTACCCTTTGAAGCCCCGCCTGGGGGAGCTGACTGTGACGGACGCCGCCCCCGACTCCCTGGGCCTCTCCTGGACTGTCCCCGAGGGCCAGTTTGACCACTTCCTGGTCCAGTACAAGAATGGGGATGGGCAGCCCAAGGCGGTGCGGGTGCCGGGACACGAGGACGGGGTCACCATCTCAGGCCTAGATCCAGACCACAAGTACAAGATGAACCTGTATGGCTTCCACAATGGCCAGCGCCAGGGCCCTGTCTCTGCCGTCGGGGTGACAGGTGAGCGCATGGTGGGAGCCCCAGGGTGGGAGCCTGCAGGAGGGTCACACTCTGTGATGGGTGAGTGGGTGTGGGGTCCCTCTGCTCCAGGCTGAGCCATGGTGCCCTGTGTGCCTCCCCCTGGGCTCCCTGAGGGCCAGCGGGGCCCTGGGCAGAGAAGGGCCTCTGTGAGCTGTGCTGTGGCTGCCCTGGGTCCCCACAGCAGACTCTGGGCTCTGGGCATGTCAGTGAGCTTGGACTGATCAGGGTGCCCCCGTCCCCAGAGGGACTTCTCTGAAGTGACCTCAGGGCCCAGTCATGATCGCGGCTTTCAGAAGACTGGGGACATCTCCATGGACCTGCCTCACCCTCCCTGTGTCTGTCCTTCTCAGCTGCAGTGGAAGAGACCCCCAGCCCCACAGAACCCAGCACGGAGGCCCCAGAGTCCCCCGAGGAGCCCCTGCTGGGAGAGCTGACGGTCACAGGGTCCTCCCTGGACTCGCTGAGCCTCTCCTGGGCCGTCCCCCAGGGCCACTTCGACTCCTTCACTGTCCAGTACAAGGACAGTGACGGGCGGCCCCAGGTGGTGCGTGTCGGGAGTGAAGAGAGGGAGGTCACTGTGCGGGGCCTGGAGCCGGGGCGCAAGTACAAGATGCACCTGTACGGCCTGCACAGGGGGCGGCGAGTGGGCCCCGTGTCCACCGTGGGCCTGACCGGTGAGTGGGGGCAGGGCCGGCAGGGCGGGAGGACCGGACCTGCAAGACTTTCCCTTTATTACCACCTTGTGAAAACATCGATATTCCCACCTGCCTGTTTTCTTTTGCCCCTCACTGGCTGGGGGGTCTTGGTCAAGGGCAGACTCGGTCAGCAGGTCTGGGCTGGGGACAGAGTCTGCACCCCTGACAAGTCCTCTGGGTGCTGATGCCGCTGGACTGAGGACCACGCTTTGGTAGCACCTCCTCACAATCAAGGATCGGACACTTTCTTAGGATGTGTGGGAGGGAATCACACCGCATCCCTGGCCTGTCCCACGGCTCAGCCGCTGGTGAGACTGGAGGCTGTGACGGAGGGCAGAGATGCTCAGAAAGCAGCGTCTTGCCTGCAGTTCCCCAGCTTCATGGCTCAGACGTGACCAGACGAATGACCCCAGTGGGTCAACTAAGAAGGGGAGCCCTGGGTCAAGCACTGTGGGAGTTCACAGGGTCAACCTTGGCCTTGGCAGAGAAACAAGGTCTTATCGTAATGGGGTTCACGGTCGTGGGAAGACAGGCTGTGAACCAACAACACAGGCAAAGGGGGATGTGGGTGTGACAGGAAGCCCTGGGACAGGACAGGCCTGGACAAGGAGGCCTCAGCCAGCCTGTCCATGGGCACCCACAGGACAGCCGAGACCTGAGGACAGGGGGTGTGGCCACGGTGACAGCCTAATAGGACAAAGAGTGTGTCAGGTCCACAATGTCAGAGCTGGTCCAAGGGCCGGGGAGCCAGGACAGCAGGGCACACGAGGGGGTTTGGATGAAATGCTGAGTGGGGGATAATCCTGAGATGGGGGGCGGGTAGGCAGCTCAGGAAGCAGGCTCCTCTGGACACATGGGGCTGTGCAGCGCTGAGTAAGACTGACTCTGTCCACCATGCCTTTAAAGTCCATTCTGGTCCCTATGCAGATGGGGCAGGAGGGAGGTGGGAACACGGGTGAGAGGCGAGGGTGGCCCAAGCCAGGAAGTTTGGGCTGTAGGTGTGGGGGGTGTAGAGACGCCAGAGGAACTCGGGAGAGAGCAGGACACCTTGATTCCTAGGGCAGCTGGGGACGGGAGCAGGACCANCAGGGCTGGCAGGAGGGAGGTGGGAACACGGGTGAGAGGCGAGGGTGGCCCAAGCCAGGAAGTTTGGGCTGTAGGTGTGGGGGGTGTAGAGACGCCAGAGGAACTCGGGAGAGAGCAGGACACCTTGATTCCTAGGGCAGCTGGGGACGGGAGCAGGACCAGGGAGACTGCATGTTTCTGGTTGGGGAGGGGTTCTGAGGTGTTCAGGAGCAAAGTCATGAGCCAGAGGGAGTGCCACGCCCGGGAGACCCCAGTGGAAGGAGCCCAGGGCACGGAGGCCACGTGCGCCTGTGTTCAGAGGAGAGGCAGGTGCTGGAGCAGAGGGAGAGGTCACAGGGGTGTTGGCAGGTGGGGGGGGAGAGGTGACTGAGGTGATGGAAGGAGACATCAGAGGGACCAGCCAGAATGGGAGTTAGAGCCACTGTGGACGGCAACATTCCCTTCCTTATTTCCTTACGCNGGACGGCAACATTCCCTTCCTTATTACCTTACGCTCGCAATAGACCGTTTATATGCTGGGTGAGGACGGAGGGGACCTCACTGTCCCCCATGTCTCTGTCCAGCTCGCCCAGCTCCAGACTACAAAACTGTGACCACCCAAGTTCCGCCTGCCACAACCCCCGAGCCGCCCATCAAGCCGCGCCNGCATTCCCTTCCTTATTTCCTTACGCCTGCAATAGACCGTTTATATGCTGGGTGAGGACGGAGGGGACCTCACTGTCCCCCATGTCTCTGTCCAGCTCGCCCAGCTCCAGACTACAAAACTGTGACCACCCAAGTTCCGCCTGCCACAACCCCCGAGCCGCCCATCAAGCCGCGCCTGGGGGAGCTGACTGTGACGGACGCCGCCCCCGACTCCCTGGGCCTCTCCTGGACTGTCCCCGAGGGCCAGTTTGACCACTTCCTGGTCCAGTACAAGAATGGGGATGGGCAGCCCAAGGCGGTGCGGGTGCCGGGACACGAGGACGGGGTCACCATCTCAGGCCTCGAGCCAGACCACAAGTACAAGATGAACCTGTATGGCTTCCACAATGGCCAGCGCCAGGGCCCTGTCTCTGCCGTCGGGGTGACAGGTGAGCGCATGGTGGGAGCCCCAGGGTGGGAGCCTGCAGGAGGGTCACACTCTGTGATGGGTGAGTGGGTGTGGGGTCCCTCTGCTCCAGGCTGAGCCATGGTGCCCTGTGTGCCTCCCCCTGGGCTCCCTGAGGGCCAGCGGGGCCCTGGGCAGAGAAGGGCCTCTGTGAGCTGTGCTGTGGCTGCCCTGGGTCCCCACAGCAGACTCTGGGCTCTGGGCATGTCAGTGAGCTTGGACTGATCAGGGTGCCCCCGTCCCCAGAGGGACTTCTCTGAAGTGACCTCAGGGCCCAGTCATGACCGCGGCTTTCAGAAGACTGGGGACATCTCCATGGACCTGCCTCACCCTCCCTGTGTCTGTCCTTCTCAGCTGCAGTGGAAGAGACCCCCAGCCCCACAGAACCCAGCACGGAGGCCCCAGAGTCCCCCGAGGAGCCCCTGCTGGGAGAGCTGACGGTCACAGGGTCCTCCCTGGACTCGCTGAGCCTCTCCTGGGCCGTCCCCCAGGGCCACTTCGACTCCTTCACTGTCCAGTACAAGGACAGTGACGGGCGGCCCCAGGTGGTGCGTGTCGGGGGTGAAGAGAGGGAGGTCACTGTGCGGGGCCTGGAGCCGGGGCGCAAGTACAAGATGCACCTGTACGGCCTGCACAGGGGGCGGCGAGTGGGCCCCGTGTCCACCGTGGGCCTGACCGGTGAGTGGGGCGAACGGGGCTTTGCTTGCTCCTCTCTGCTCTCCCCTTGGATGTCGGACCTCCTCATGGTGGGTGGGGCCCTCTCCGCGCTGCAGTGGTGCCCACGCTCACATGGTCCTTGAATGTGTGAGGAGGGCGGACGCCGTGGTCAGGGTCTGTGTCATGGAGCCTGTGCCTCATACATTTTAGTTTGTTCCTATCCTCTGGCTCCGGAACCTGAGCTTGCTGGTGTTGGTGTGGCGCTTCCCCAGGCTCCCTGACTCACAGCTCAGTGGCTCTGAGGTGGGCGTGGAGCCAGGGTGTCAGGGTCTGAGTTCTGCCCTGAAGGCACTGACCACTTAGTGTGCCACAGTGTCTGCACTCTGCAGCCAGGTCCCACAGTGGGGCTGATGGTAGGGCACCCGCCACCCCTGTGTGTGAGTCCTACCAAGCCTGGCCCCAGTAATCACCTGAGAACAGTTTGCTCGAATGTTTGTTTCATAGCCGGGAAGCACCCACTCTCTCAGGCCATTGGGAGAAAGCAGCCTCTCTCTGTTCCAGCCTCACTGGTCACGGAGCCCCCGGTGGCACCCCACCTGGAGGAGCTGGCTGTGGCAGCCATGACCTCAGACACAGAGCACCTGTCCTCGACAGTGGCCCAGGGCCCTTTGAGTCCTTCCTGGTCCAGTACAGGGGTGTGCAGGGCCAGCCCCAGGCAGTGCCCGTGGGTGGAGACCTCCGCAAGGTCACCATCTCAGGTCTGGCCCCTGCCAGCAACTACAAATTCCTACTTCTTGGAGTGCAGGGTTCAAAAAGGCCGGGCCCACTCTCTGGGGATGTTAAGACCCATGAGCCAGGGCCAGAGGCCACCTTTGCCCCTGGAGCCTTTTGACCGTCCTTCGCCCCCTTGTGGCGATAGTGGGAATGTCATTGTCTGTGCTCCGCACTCCAGACCTCAGGGCCTCCAGACCCACGTATAGGTATTTACTGGATCTAGTGAAATCCAGTCCTGCGTTCCCGACCACTCATCCCGCCCTTCTCCGCACTCCTTCTATTCCGAGGGAAGCTGCTTTCTTCCCTGGGTCCTCTTTTGTCCCTGAGTGTCTCTGCTCCCCCTTCCTGACATATGGCCCTGAGTAAGCTCTGCCTGCTTCTGTCACCATTTCTGTCACTCCCCACACGTCTCTCTCTCTTTTCCAGTCCCAGACACAAAACCTTCTCCTCGATTGGGGGAGCTGACAGTGACGGGCGTGACTCCAGACTCCGTGGGCCTCTCCTGGACGGTCCCCCAGGGCAAATTTGACTCCTTTGTGGTCCAATACAAGGACAGGGATGGGCAGCCCCGGGTGGTGCCTGTGGCCACAGACCAGCTAGAGGTCACCGTCAGCAGCCTGGAGCCCAACAGGAAGTACAAGTTCCTGCTCTTCGGGCTGGCAGGCAAGAAGCAGCTCGGCCCTGTCTCTGCTGAGGGCACCACAGGTGAGTCAGCCCTGCCCCCCACTTTTCCCAGAGCTGCCTCTTATCTGAGCCCCAGAGCTGGCCTGTGGTCTTCCCTTCAGCCTTGGCCTGTCGGTCATAACACCAAAAGCAGACACTATGAGTCCCTATTACCTGCCAGGCACTGTTCTGAGCATCTTCTATGCATTAGTTCTCCCAGTCACTAACTGGTAACGTAATAAAAGCAACCCAGACTTCAGAGCCAGTGGACCTGTGTTCAAGTTCTGACTGCAAGCTGTGTGGCTGTGGACAAGTCATTGCTTTCCCTTGACCTGTTTTCAAGCCTGCAGAGTGGTTATGCACAATATCTCCTGGAGCTCAGCAAACATTCGAATCCCCTCCCTCTGTCCCAGCTCTGTAGCAAGAGGTGGAAAATACAGGAGGGTTTGGCTGTGAAGACAATGGAAAAATCTGGAACCATCATGCCCATGACTCAGCTCCCCAAGGGAGGGGTGGAGGCCGGTCTCTGACCCTCACCCCGCTCCCAGAACCATGAGTCACCCTGGCCAGGCAAGGATGGACACGTGGCCAGTTGGGGCCTAGGGTCCTCAGACTCCATAATTCTCTTCTCCGAACCCTCTTTATGGGGACTGGATACAGACTTCTCCCCTGACCCCCATCAGTCACCACCCACTCTCGGCAGGTCTCTCCTGGGCTCTGCTCTGGGCTTTATTCTCCTAGCTCTGCCCCTGGCTTCTCCCCTCCCTCCTCACCCAGCCATGTGGTCCAGGGCTTAGTGCAGGGCTGGAGAAGTGGGTGGAAGGAGGGCCAGGCTAACAGAGGGCAGGGGTGTCATGCTGGGCGATGGCAGCCCTGAGCTTGACTGGCTGCCCAACCTGGCTCCTGCTGCCAACCTGACAACCCAGATACCCTCTGGGATTTTTCTCAGCTCTGGCCGCATCTCTGCTCAGGGGAATGGGGGTCGGGGAAATCGAGGCCCTTCTCAGCGGCCCCAGCCACCTCTCTCTCATCAGGTGATCTTTTATGCATTTCTGGCACCCTGGTCACAGCAGGGAGGGAAGGAGGGCAGGAAGAGTTTGGGCAGTGGCCTCTGGAGGAGGAGACCAGGCCACCCACCCTGCTTCCTATAAGACAGGACTGGAGCGGGCCTATTTCTTCGGGTGGCTGTCCTTGAAGCCACCCTTCAGGGACTCTTTCCCAGGCCCTTACACCTCCTGGAAGTTGCCAGGGCTGAGGTGAGGGAGCTCTAAGAGTTCCTCCCCCCACTCTCTCCACAGCTCCCCTGGAGAAGTGGCAGCCCCCACCCCGCCTGGGGGAGCTGACGGTGACAGATGAGACCCCAGACTCCCTGCGCCTTGCGTGGACGGTGGCCCAGGGTCCCTTTGACTCCTTCATGGTTCAGTACAGGGACACAAACGGGCAGCCCCGGGCAGTGCCCATGGCTGCAGACCAGCGGGAGGCCACCATCGATGGCTTGGAGCCTGGCAAGAAATACAAGTTCCTACTCTATGGGCTCCTAGGAGGACAGCGCCTGGGCCCTGTCTCTGTCCTGGGAGTGACAGGTGAGGGGGAGGCTGTTGCACATGCCCAGCAAGCTGACCTACATGGGTTTGGGATGAAGACAGGGGCTGGCAGGAGTGGGCAGGAGCGTGAGGGAGCCCTGCCCGGGGCCCAGAGGAAGGTGTCAAGGGCCAGCTCTAACAGTCACCAGGGGTCAGTCGAAAGCAGGAGCCAGATCTGGTGGCCAGGAGAGGCCGGGCAGTGGTCCTCAGTCTTTCAACCCCCCCCCC